CAAATTACTCATAGATTACTGCAGAGATGACAACATGGTTTTATAGAAAAGGGTTAGGGTAGAGTATAGGAAATAGTTACTGTAAATAGGTTGACAGGGAGACCGGAAGAGAGGTAAGTAAAAGAGGTACACGGTAGGAGACGGAAAGGAAGTAGTGGAAGAAGAGGCAACAGAGATGAGAAGGAAAGAAAGATGAAAAAGGAAAAGAAAAAAAAGATGATAAAGAGGAGGAAGTGAGGAAGGAAACAAAGTAAAAGTAATTCGGCCATATGCGAAATGGTAAATGTGAATAGTGAGAGAACAAAAAATAGGGAAGAAAAGAAAAATATTTAGCCTAATCCAACAACGATTTCAGTAGATATCGAGGATTAGTATTTCTTCTTATTTTTTCTCTTTGTTCTTTGCAGTAAGGTTCAACCTGTACAAGACCCGGGGTTCACTCGAGGTAGAAGGTTACGTTAAGAGGAAATTTTTGCGGATAGGAAGGGAAACATAACGATTAACCCTAGACTTGAACAGGTTAAGATTGTAGTAATCATGGAAAACAAAGAGCCGTGGTTCGCGAGAAGTGGAACTAACTTCTCACCGATGGAATACAAGGGGAACGTGTGTGGTTGCTACAATGTAAGTGGCATGGCGTGTCTTTGCCGTGAAGGTGGATCTGTTGACCCTGTTCACCATAGTCTATGAATATAGAATACAGCGCAGTACGTAATCTGTTCAATGAAACAACGTTAAAGATTAATACTCTCGAGTCAGATATTTTACTGAATCTGACAATATCGCCAATACCACCAGCAGCTGTTCATTAATTCTTCAGTCTTCGATATCAAAGGCTGGCAGTGATATTTAGCCACCCCCCACATGTGTTACATGTGGCACAAGGCCGGGATTAACGTGGGATCTCCGAGTTCGTAGGCTCGGCCAAAAATAATCCCTATTCGAACGCGTATAAACGAGTTCAGGGGCACTCAACCTCCCCGAACGAGACTCTGCCCTTCGGCGGGGCCTCGCCCAGGTTAGCAAAGGCTGGTAGTGCATATTCGAGAAAAACATGGCCGCCTTTATAAACGTTGCATTGAATATTTTGAGCCTTCTGATTGGTTAACCCTTCTATTTTGGCTGGCTCACTATTACACCAGGGTACCCAAAAATTCCAACAAGAACCATGTAATTCGTCCTAGCACTTTCCGTGGAAGTAGCGATAGACCAGCGAGTGGCTTGCCTCATCATTTCTGTGTGTGTGTGTGTGTGTGTGTGTGTGTGTGTGAGAGAGAGAGAGAGAGAGAGAGAGGGGGTTGGAGGATGGAGAATTGGTGGAATTAAGAATTGTAGCTCGTTAAAACACAATGGACGTAGCGATAGAATAGCGATGAACATATGACGTTTCGTCGATGGAAAAAGGGGTTGTCGGATCGAGAAAAAAATTAATCGGCTACAAGACCGCGTAAACTTCTTTTGAGCCATGTCATAACTGGGCAGTAAGCATTAGACAGTTCCAGTTCCAGATAGCGCAGTTGTGCTTCATTTTCGGCCAGAGATGACTCTTGTAAAGATAGAGCTTTTTAGGAGGAGCCAGATACTTTCTGGAGTTGTACAAGAAACGGATTATTGTGTCCATCAAACTGGTGCTTATAGTTTATTTTTGTTTAATGTCATATGGAATGTAAAATTTCGAATGACCATTTTTTAAAGCAGAAAAGTCTCTTATATTTCGAAAATTGCCAGACAATCTTCCAATTTTAATAAAAAAAACATGCCGATATAACAGCTGTCGCAAAAACACCCCCTAAAAAAACGATATTTTTAATAAGTTTAATTAAAAGTAAAATTAAATGTTCTTAATGGCATCTAATTACACAGAAGGATGTTTTGGGTACATCGCGCAATATGTCCTTCGCTCTGTTCATATTTATCTCCTTTGATGCTCATTAATTGTTATGGTCCAAGGTTAGGACCATGAAAGAACAACACGAAACACAACAGTAGAAATAACAAAGAATATATGACACAAGAAATAATACCAAGAAATAAAATGGTTAGTAAGACTGTCCGACTGGTTTGGCGTGACTGCTATCAGCTCGACTCGATTCACTACCGTCCTAATACCGTTCCAATACCGTCCGTCTCTCTTGAGAGGCGTAGTATATATATAGCGTTCGGAAGAGTTCATTCTGTCGGTCTAGGTAAGCACCATGACATTGATATAAGCTTAGTTTGTAATGGGATTGAAAATTAACGTTGATTTGTATTACCTGTCAATCCTTGTCTTGGTTATGTAATTTTGTCTGAGGTGTCCAGTGGGGATCGAACTAATTACACCATAGTAAGCGTTAATCTGTATAGGCACATTATTACCTTTCGCTAAGGCAATATAAGCATTGTAAGTGTGAAGCAGTGAGAATAGAACTCATCGTAGCTATGATGGTTTTTGTTACTAGTCCATTAGCGATTATGTCATAGCAAAATCTTTCTTTCTTTATTTCTTTCTTTCTTTCTGTCTGTTGTAGAGTAAATAGTATACCTCGGGTGACTATATGAACTAGGGCATAACTATAAAGAACTCCAGGTCATAGGTAAGGAGAAATGAGCAGTTTGGAGTTCGTCTCAAGACTAATTAATAAAGCAAATAGCCGAAGCATTACTTATATTATAAGCACTTTGAAGCACATTATAACAATAGCGACTAGGGTTTCGAAACTCAGGTGAATTATAACCGTTGTGACGAAGTTTCGGAACACTTAGGACTTATAACAGTAACGAGGATTCAGGAACCTATACGAGTTGTAACTAGAGTCAAAAGGATTTTGGAAACTCATAATAAGTGAACAAGTACGGAAAGAATATACTTGTTGCTTCTGGAACACGGATAAGTATGACAACAAGAATTTTAACCAACTTGATGTTTTTAAAAATCTTGCTGTGTAGAAGAAAAAAAAAGTTTTTTCTTAGGTATAGAAAAAAATATTCTTGTGAATATGAAGCAAATTTTGTCTTCGATAGTTGAAATTCAACAATAAGAAAAGAAACAGCAAAATCAACACAATCAATAATTGCTAAAACTAAAAAAAAAAAACAGCAACAGGAGTTGTTGGATATAATTCTGAAGAAAACAAAAAAATCTCTACGTCTCTTGCGCCAGACGATGTCCAAAACATCATCACCAGTATTTGTATACAATGCTGATGAGAGACTGATTTTTTCTGGGGTATTTTTGTAAATATGAACAAATATTCAGCCAGCAATGCAGTGGCTGGGAGTTGAGAAAAAAACGAAATTTTTGTTGAGGAAAATAACTCTAACAGAGTATGAAAAATACTGCAATTACTTATTACCGAAAAAACAAAAAAAAAACAAAAAAAACAAAAACAAAACAAACAAACAGCTGAAATCAGTTTTGAACACACGGCACAGATTCTGACGAAAATCGTTAGTGACCAGAGCTCTATGATTAATACTCGTTGGGAGTACATGAATCTAACCAAAAAAGAGGACGAAGATTTTGTCACGTATGCTAGTATCGTCAACAAAGAATGTGAAAAGTTTAGAATAAAGGAAATGACTCCAGATATATTAAAATGGGTTAATTTTCATTCACGGTTTAACAGCTAAAAAAGATGCTGAAATAAAAGCGAAAGTTTTAACGAAATATGAACAAAACAGTAATATTACACTGCAAGAAATAGTGGACGATTGCCAGACAATTCTAAGTCTGAAACACAATGCAAAAGAAATTCAGAAAAAATAATGTACATTAGTACAAGTAAAGTACAAATGAACAAAAAGGAGGATAAATATTTGTTTCAGATGTGGTAAATTACATCTTGAAAAAGACTGTCCATTTAAAAATGCAGAATGTTACAAGTGTGGTAAAATGGACATATAAAGACACACTGCAAAACCAAATCAAGAAAAAAAAAATTGTCCACAACATTGCGACGGAAAAATGCTCACAGAAACAAAGGGAAATTTGTGAATGTTAAAATAAATAATGTGGGTGTGAAATTGCTACTGGATACTCGTAGTGTTATTTCAATAATCAGTGAAACCACATGGAAGGAAATTGGAAAGCCTTTATTAAAAAGGACAAAGGACTTCCAAATTTACTTTTCAGTTTTTGATGAGAAATTATTTTTTTTGAGAAATGACTTATAATGACCCATTCCATAATATGCATGTAAATACAAAAGCGTATATATTAAAAATGCTACGAATTTATTCGTTACTAACTGGATGAACGTTTATTGTAAAAACTTAAATGAGCAAGTGACCAATTAAAAAAGTCAGAGCGAAAATCTTAAGGAAGAAAATTTTTTTCCAAATTCTCTGTCAAATGAACTGGGTCGGTATTCTGTCGGTATTCAAGGCGGATTTTCAAGTAAAAAAACGGTTCGACGCTAGTATTTAAGCCGACATGGATCGATTTGCCAGGGTCACTAATGGAATCTAAAAGGACAAATTCCAGAAAAAGAAAGCGTACTGAAGAACTGAAAGTAGATCCGAGACAGAAACGCTACAAAATCAACTACCTTGCCGAACTCTCCAGAATGAGGAGGGGGATATTAATACTAATAAAAAATAAAATTCTTATAAAAAGTATTAATTTCGAAAGTGGGGGATGTTGTGGAGTAAATAGTACCCCCCTGGTGGCTATATGAACTAGCCCATAGCTATAAAGAGCTCCAGATGAGAGGTAAGGAGAAAGAAGCCGTTTGGAGTCAGGCAATTCGCTGCCAGGCTTGCGACAGGCTTGTCGAACTGCCTTCGGGCAGAAAGGAACCCAGACAAGACTATGCCTACGGGCAAAGTCTCGTCTGGGGAGGCAGACAAACCCGAAACCGTGTTATGAATTCCTATCAATTATCCATGACACCACCCGTACATCCAAGTTCACAGTTCCTTCACCCCGATGAGGATTTTACACGCTGGTGAAAGTAAAGGTATACTACTATAATTGCCCATTCAGCACGCTTATACATTTTCCTTTTTACAATGTTATCATGATCGTTCTCTCTCTCTCTCTCTTTGGAACTCTCCCAGCATTTCGGGTGTTCAGGGTGATTCTATACATGATATCGATCAAGCGATCGCCATCATGCCGAAGTGTTATAGCAAAGATGCCGTTCTTTCTGGCATCCTTCCCTATGTTCAACTTGCTGATACTTTTACTTCATCCACGGTAGGAGGATCATTGATAGAAACAAGACGACCATCCCCAAAATATACATACACACAAATACACGTATCTCATTGCGTGTCTGTGGCTATCCAGTTCGATGTACATGAGTATAAAGATATATATATATATTTTAGATACTCAACATTTCTTCCTCGGATCAGTATATCTGAGCGCACTGCGAAAAGTTTTACCCACACACACAAAATCAATCTCTCTCTCTATATATATATATATATATATATATATATATATATATATATATATATATATATATATATATTTATACACGTTTCATTTAGACAAGTGTTGTTATTTATTTTATGTAAAATTTTTCGTATCTTCTGATAAGTTTTATAACATTATCATTAACAGAAAAAAGTACAATATTTATCCATTATTTTTAATAAAAATCTAAACTTTGCTTACTCAAGAATAAATACAAACATATCAAACAATATACGGACACGACAGTGATGATATAGTCTGTCATTGTTTTTGTTTTACATAGTGGATCACTAAGCAACGATGAACACACGCATATAAGACGCTAGAAGCGAAAATCGCACCGCATCTCATGAGAATAGACAAAAACTAAAAATACTTGAAGCATTATACATCAAACAGTTAAAACCCAACCTAAACAAAATCAACTATGGAATCTCTACAAATATTCTTAAATGTCTATAATTTCAATAATTGGTAACAGAAGCCATTGGTTATACCAACGGCTTTCCTTATTTCATTCTCCAATTCACTCTTGTGTAGTCATGTGACGTCATGAGATGCGGTGCGATTTTTCGCTTCTAGCGTCTTATATGCGCGTGTTCATCGTTGCTTAGTGATCCACTATGTAAACAAAAACAATGACAGACTATCATCACTGTCGTGTCCGTATATTGTTTGATATGTTTGTATTTACATCTTTGATAATGGCTTGAGTAAGCCGAAAGCTTAGATTTTATTAAAAAATAATGGATAAATATTGTGAATTTCTTTTTCGGTTAATGATAATGTTATAAAACTTATCAGAAGATACGAAAAAATTTTACATAAAATAAATAGACAACACTTGTCTATATTATTTAATGAAACGTGTATATATATATATATATATATATATATATATATTAGCAGTTGATACAAATAAAGAAGCAAACGAGAGAAAATTTCAAATTGTTCGTTATTATATCTTTCATGCATCTATATCTTCTACACCAGATTTCTTTTTGAGTGACAGCCAATCCCAACCACTATTGTTTTAGTCTCCTCTTTTTTGAGAATGGTGCAGATTATATAATAATAATAATAAATACTTATGTATTTTAATGAACTTGTAGGCGCATGTTTCCGACGCTTTACATCTAAACCTGTTCTAGTTTCTAATAGAAACAAAATTCCAGAAAACTTAGAAAGCCTGTGCATTGGTCAAACCATATTCATCCATTGATTCATATTTCTTCTTCTATGTGTCATGTCACTTCATAATTTTTAAGTCCGCGTCCTGGGTAATACGGTAAATTACGTCCAGCAGCAAGGCCTCTGATCAGGAGGTTTTGAGGAGCGTGGAACCACCTCTTAATTGCTGGTGTTTCCAGGTCCACCCTGACCCGAGGTGGTAGCACCTGTCTGGGTCCCAGCTAATAGTTAACCCCCAAACTGGGATCAAAACACTTTGAAGGTGTAAAAATAGGTTTTAATACCAGAAATAATTTGTAAAAAATTATTACCAGTAATAGATTTTTGAAGAAAGATTATTATCGGTAATACAATTTTGAAAGTAAAAAATATTACCAGCAATACATTTTGAAAGTAAAAATATTACCAGCAATACATTTTGTAAAAAAAGCAATACATTTTTGAAAGTAAAATATTACCAGCAATGCATTTTGAAAGTTTATTACCAGCAATACATTTTGAAAAAAAAATATTACCAGCAATACATTTTGAAAGTAAAATATTACCAGCAATACATTTTTTGAAAGTAAAATATTACCAGCAATACATTTTTGAAAGTAAAAATATTACCAGCAATACATTTTTGAAAGTAAAAATATTACCAGCAATACATTTTTGAAAGTAAAAATATTACCAGCAATGCATTTTTGAAAGTAAAAATATTACCAGCAATACATTTTTGAAAGTAAAAATATTACCAGCAATACATTTTTGAAAGTAAAAATATTACCAGCAATGCATTTTTGAAAGTAAAAATATTACCATCAATACATTTTTCAAAAAGAAAATATTACCAGCTATACATTTTTGGATTAAAATTACTAGCTATACATTAAAAAAAATTACCAGCAATAAAAATCTTGTCGGCATTAATTAACCTATTGAGGTTGATATGCTGTTAGACAAACCAAACCAAACCTTCAGAATTTTCTGTTCTTTGTAGCTCTTAATAAATTTTGTCTTTCTGTCATCTCTCCTAAATCCTACTCCGCTACCCATCCATAACCTCTTCGACCTTTTTTTTCTGTTTTTCCTTACTTATTTATCCATGTATGTTTGTGAAGTCTTTTGGCTGCCACATTTATCAACTATAATCCCTTCATAACTTCCAGTAAATATCCAATATTTTTGAAATTTCTAAATGTCTTTCGTTTTCTCAGGGCCAATTACCACGTGCAGGTGTGACCATGAATTTCTTTTTTTTTTTTAACATAAATCAATCAATTAACTCTAGGCAGCTATGAATACTGTTATCTTAAGCATCTCTCTCGCTAGCAGCTTACATATTTCTGTGTATGAATTCATTTTGCAGTACTGTTTACTAAGATCGTCATGATAGTTTTATCCGGGCACGACGCTCCTCTTTTGCGGTTTTGCGTTCCACCAAATCCATTTAAAATCTGTTTTACTCCTTGTTTTCATCTTCTATATGACAAATAACGATAGAAAAGGCCAGTGATGGAAACTAATTACTTCGAATATTCACCAGTTCAGACACAGCTAAATTTACAGATAAGACTCGCCATGCCACGTCCACAGAACCGAATCATCCTCATTCCCTTTGTATTCCATTAGTAAGAAGGAAATTCCATTTGGACAGCCAGCTTCTTCCAAAGTACCGCTTCTTTGTGGGACAGGCTACGTCGATTATTACATTCTTAACCTCTGTGTTCAAACATTATTTACGACCAACAACCTCATTCCGTAACCCTCTACATTTAGCGGCTCTTAAGGCTGAAGTGAATGACATTGAAAAAACATTTTATTTTATTTTTATTATATTATAATTCGCGCGTTACAAGGCTCGAGAGCTACTCAGACGTACGGCTATATCAGCTTCAAACACCGGTTCCTGTACGATCAACGAAGTTAAGCAACGCCGAGCCTGGTCAATACCTAAATGAATGAAAGCTTGGGGATATCGGGTGCTGTCAGTTTGGATGTACGAATGGTGTAATGGATAACGGATCGAAATGGGAAATCGGAGTGTTGAGTTTCAATTCCAGTCGACTTCATTTTAGTCACTTATAAGCAAATGCCCTTGAGAAAAGTATGAATCCATCTCTTCTCCCGGGTATTGGTTTATTAGTAAGCCTTGGATCATTAAAATATTATCTCAAAAAATAAAATAAAATTGAGTACAAAATATTTAGATTTCGGCATTAAATAACCCATAGAGGTGTTGACATGTCGCTATACAAAAATAACCAACACCGAGTACTACTCAAGGTAGAGGGTTATTGTTAAAACGGTAATTATGCCTGAGGTGTGGGCTATTAATGAAAGAGGAGATATTAGCAAGTGAAGATTTTGAGGACAATGAGGGTAGGTAGCCGTTGTCTTGAAGAGATTTAGACTGCAGTGATCAGGGAAACACCAGCATTTCAATCTGTTCCACAAAGTGGCATTTCTTGGGCAGAAAGATCACGAAGGAAATGACGGTGAATCAACACTGTGGAAGTATCATCGTGAGTACTAGCTGTAAATGTCTATGCTGTTGGAACTATAGAATGTAACGTTCATCTGAGCAGTTGCCATTGAAATAGCGATAGAATGGCAATTAGGTTGCAACGTTTCTCCTGTGGAAAAGAGGCTGCGGATTAGAGAGTAAGTCAGGTTTTTGTGTTTTTGGTTTTTTAGAGTAGCAAAGTTGGCATTTTCAGGTTGTGAAGAAAAAAAATGCCCGGAAATTTGGAAATAAACTCTTTGCTATTTGCCAACTCCAAGGAAAATATTTTCCTGATGAAATAAGCAAACAGCGATCAGTTCATGTGAAACTTTGCAGTTCAGGAACTGCTTTTTTTCTGACGTATTTTTGTTTACTTTCTGGCATCTGCTCTTGGAGATAAGACTAGACATTTGTAGAAAATAAGGAATCCACAATTGGATGGAATCAGGTTTCATGTACCTGCCGCTTTTCCTAAAAAAACAACAACATATTTATCCTGCCAAGATATTTTCATGAAGTCATAATGCTCAGTTCTCGTGTTACTTTTCTTGTGCTGTGAAAAAGCATTTTCTCAGCTTGAATTAATATGGCACATGGTCAAATAGAAAATGGAGGAGGTGGAGGAAATGTGCTGAACCGATTTTAGAAATTGTGGATCAATTGGCTGTTTTGAAAATCAGTATTCAAAATACTGGTTTGTATCTAGGCTTGATGTGACATCGAAATCCGAAAGCGCACTGGAATAACGAAATATGCCTTCCGGAATCTGAGTAAAGTATTAAGAAAGAGGGCAATTTCGTTAGAAACAAAGATTGATTAGTTTTTTTTACTGTTTATCAACCTTCTGCAGGCTATTTAAAGTCAGAAAATGTTTTAGATTGTAAGAATCTTTTGAGGATAATAGTAATAACTTTTACTGATACAAGTCCTACTATTTAGACCATAGATGGGGGGGAAGGTAGATCTATACCTTCCCATGAGTATTTGCCCGTAAGTGACTATAACGAATCCCACTGGAATTTGGAACTTGGCTCTCTCTTGCTACATTCGTAATATATTTTATCGCAGTTACAATAAATCTGCCTTTCCAATTTACCACTTGAAGATGATCTTAGAAAAGGTCGAAAATACTTGGGTTAAAAAAAACTACGACGCCTTCCTTGATGAATTTCATCTTAATATCATGAACCTGATTAGACAATTAGAAAGGATCAGTATAAAAATAAGTAGTCACGTTTTGTCTATATTATTCAATGTAACACACAGAGCCATCACTGAGAAGATTCAAGTGATCACCCATGAGGAATGTGCTCGCGTTATCAACAACTTTGCATTCACAAGTGCCTTCAACTGAACGGTGGATATCTGGAGCATGTACTCTCTAGCGCTCCTCTTGACATTTTTGGTTCTTGTTTGAGACTAAATGGTTGCAGATCCTGAAATGTTATCTTTTTACCTTTCAATAAATGTAACTTCCATTACTGTATCATTTGTGGTTATTGATTTGTGCGCGATCATTTGGCTTAAAAAATGGGAAACGCTCTTTATATCTATCTATCTATCTATCTATCTATCTATCTATCTATCTATCTTAATCCATAACCCTGGAATTTCCATAGATTTTGTTAGACACATTTAAGTATTTCTCTTTATTTTTTTCGTATCTGAATGATGTTAACACAAATTTCTTCAGTTTTCATGTCATAAAGCATTTAAAAAATACGGATGAGAAAAAAAAATACTAAATTTTTCTCTACTATTATAAACGTTGGTGATATGTATTGGTGAATATGTATACTTGGCCGATTAGGCACACAACATTCAAGGTTGAATTTTGTGGTGAGTCATGCAAATATTGGCCCAGCCTGTCTGATACCAGGGTAGAAACCTTTCATCTGGTGATAATTGTTACAATTCGACTTTCTTTCGTTGCAGGATTCTCAAGTGCTACCGGAGAGTTCACTGGAGACGATATTGATGGTAAGTTAGCGCTTAATTACTCTGCATTTAAAAGCATGAAAAAAAAAAAAGTGAGAAAAAAGGAAGGAATTAACAGTTTCGTCTCGGCTGATATTTCCTAGAGTACTTTGAAATGTTGAGAGATATGAGCAAATTTTTATGAAGATGCAATAGACAGAAAATATCTCACCCCCCACCCCAAAGATAAAAAGACCAAAAAAAAAAAAAAAAACCGAAATAAAAAAATAAAATGAATAATAATATAATGGTAAGAAAATAAATAAATTATAAAATATAAGTGTTGTAAAGTATAAATATTCGTACGAGTTTTTAATGGGCCCTTTGTGCACAGATACGTGTACGCGCACGCACACACACACACACACACACGCACGCATGCACACACGCACAAAAGCAGGACTTAGACTGTATCTTTGCAGATAAGTACCCCCTCGCCAAAGGAGCTTACCTTTCGGGTAGACTCGGGTATAAATTCGACGAATGTCTACCTTTTTGACTGTAGTGTAAACCGGTCTCATTCTCATCTTTTTTTTTTTTACTCTAGCGTAAACAGAACCTATGTATTTTTTTTGTTGCTGTAGTCTAAAAATGAACTGATTCAATTTTTTTTCAAGTATGATTCTCGTGTAAACCGAACACACATCTAGCGATTTACTCTAGTGTAAAGTGAGCCTCTGTCTAAGTTTTTGATTTTAGTGTAAATCAGACCTCTGACTTTCGAACGTAAGTCCAAAGCGGACCTCGGTCTTTTTTTTTTTTTTTTTTACTTTAGTGTAAAACGGAACAAAGAAGGGGCAAAGAGAAACAGCGAGAAACCTGACTAATGAGGTCGTCTGGATGGATGGTAGAACGGGGACAGAGAGAGATCGTAAAGAATTAAATATTGTTTAGAGCTTCAAGCGACAGCGGGCAGTGGATAGCCATGAACAACCACGCCCTGTAGGAACAGCACATATAATGGACAATTGGTACACTTTTATAAGTCTGCCATTTGTCTATGCCTTGAATATTGCTGTCACATCTGGTCTAGTGTTTTTGCTATGTATTTCGAAATTCTTGATAAAATCCAAAGAAGAATCTGCAATTCTATCGGTCATGACGGCATCACGGCTTCAGTCGCTTTCCCACCATGGCAACGTAAGTTCCCTGTGACATTTTATAAATATTATCGTGTTAATCATTCTGATGGGCTTTCCTCTTTGGTACGTAGAATTTTCGGATTTAAACGCAGTACTAGATTGTCAGGTTGGATTCGTCATTTTACGGTGAAATTTGCTAGATGTAGCCATATGTTACCTGGCATCACGACTTCAGTCAATTTCCCACTGCAAAACAGTAGCTTCCCTGATGCAATTTTTGTTCTACAAAGCTTATATTCAACATTAAACAACCCAACGAGGGTTGATACGTCGTTCTATTAAACATCTTAAATGAACAAACATGCGTAAGGCTTTTCTGATTAATCAGAAAAGTTCAGGAAATTTGACCATAAAAAATAACAGATTTGGTTTGATATTTGCATTTTTCTTTTATTAGCCTGTTCTTCCATGCTGCCTTAGGAAGAGGGTATTATACCTCGATATAGGGTTTATATACAAGTAGATTTGATGAGGACTTTCATTCTCTATAAGGGGGATTTATTCGTGCTAGATACAAACCTGAAATTATATGAATGGAAACGCATCGGCGAAACATTCTGAGATTTAAAGAAAAGAATGCAAACATGGACAAACGTGCCGGAAATAAGACAGACTGTTAAAAGTGCGGGTTATCCCATAACACCACTTTTTAAACTACCTTCAGTCTTCGGCAATATTTTAAAAACCGATGATTAGAATTGTAATAAAACCTAAACATATGAAAGTGAATTTATACATTTTCTTTGTTCTTAAGAATTGACAACAAAAATTAATAAACACTATATATTGATTAGATTCTTTATTTATACTATTTATTTTTTATATTATTTATTATATTATTTATTATATATATTTATATTATTTATTGGAATGGCTAGCAAACATCGGCGAATTGTCAATAAATTTATTAGTTGTAAAACAGAATATAAAAAGAGTCCCTCCCAATTCAGTGATAATGACACAATAAAATCTTCCCGCACTGAGTCCCCCGCCTCTGCTAGCATGGAATTTAATTGCTTATTTATTCTATTTGCAGAATATGTAGTTGGTGCTCCAAGATCTGATGTGCTCCTTGGAAAAGTAAGTAAACATAACTCAACTTTGATCTTCAGTAGGACAAGTTGACAAAGATTACTTTCCTTCACTTTGTCATATTTTACTTATTTACATTACCTCATTAGGAATATATATATATATATATATATATATATATATATATATATATATATATATATAATTAAAGTATAGTTTCAAAGTTATGCTATATTTATGGGTAAAAATTCTCAATATCAGGGTTAGAGCGTATGTAAATATAAAAGTCGATACTGAGGTTGACATCGAGTAGTGAAGGTCTGTTTCCTGTTTAAACAAAATCTTCAGGCCATGTGTGTTCTGTATTGACTCATCTATTCATATATGTTGGTCAGTGGTGCATTATGGGTAACAAAGTCTATTAGTATGACCCATAATGCACCATTGGCCAGTGTATATAAAAAGTTGATCAACCAAGCAACACACATGGCCTGAATATTGTGTTCAAGCATGAAATAGACGAATGACGCTTAGTCTTAACCTCAGTGCCCTTATATAGATATGTGTGTGTGTGTTGTAACAGATGTATAATATATCCATCTGTTACAAATTCCGTAGACAAGTGCGACAGTATGTTATATATATATATATATAAGGAAAATTAACGACAAAGTGGAAAATTTCTTCTTGTGAAGTGTTTTGTCTTCTCTTCTGTTCGACATTTAGAAATGTCTTTTTTAGACTGGTTGCCAGCCAAGCCTAGAGAACTCAGTGTATCCTGCTATTTAACCCATAGCTGTGGTTAGAAGAGACGAATTCATATCTATCCAAATGGTATTTGGATGAAAGTGAACGCAACAGATATCTGTTACGATACATGTTCATCCCATGGCATCAGTAACAAGCAATTAATCCATTATCCGATCTATTGTTATTTGTTACGCTTTTCCTAATCTGATAAATGCCCAGGGTCGTAGACCACGCAATGCGAATTGAACTTCTTATCTGAGCAATGGTTTTTGAGACTGGTTTTTTAACCACTGGTTTATAAAGGTTTGTTTTCGTTCTGAATAAATAAAAAAAGAACGACGTTTAAAGAACAGCGGTGAGTAAGCTAGTCTTACAAGAAAATAATCTTTGTCAAATAAGTACGAACTATAAAATGATGGCGATCGATTAGTTTTAGTTTGGGATAAAAGTGATCGTCTTCGTGGTATTTCTCATCAATGCGACAAATTGTATTAGGCTACATGCTACTAACAGCGGCGAGCAATCCACTAGTAAGTCTTTCTTGTATACCTTATATACTCGTGTATAAGTCGACTTCGTGTTTAGTGCGAATCCCTGAATTTTTTTGCTTGAATTTTAACCCTACGGAAAAAAGATTACCTGTGTAGAGTGCAACCGGTCACCAAAAAAACGCATGAATTTTAACCTCTTCAAAAAAAAAAGAAAAAAAGAAATTACCTGTGTATAGTGTCACCTGCTATTTTTTGCGTAAAGAGACTGATAATAAAAACAGTACTCGAGTATATGTGGTAAGTAACAAATTTCTTCAGCCTGTTTTGATTCCGAATGTTCTTAAGAAAATTTGGTTATGACCGTTTTCTTAAATTGCTTCTCGCTACAGAAATGACCAACAAAATCAGTTATGCGCATGCGTGATACATAACTGACGAGGCAGATTTTTTTCCCGCAGTATTTTACCACTTCTTTCTATGGCAAACCAGTTGCCCGGCCTGTCCTGCTATTTACCCATAGCTGGGAGGAGAAGAAGAGAAGGATTCATACCTTTCCCAAGAGTATAAGTGAATATAATGGATTCGACTGGAATTCGAACTCTCCAATTCCTCAATCCGAGCCACAATCCATTACTCCACCGTGCCTCCCCTAAAATGAACCAACCAAACAAAAACTAAAAGACCCTTGTTCTAGTGGGAATTTTAAGAGTGCTTGCAATTCCGATTGAGATTGCAGGTGCTGAGACACAGTATTAATGACACAAACCATATATGTCAAGTTGGAATGAACCATTCCTTGACCCCTGCCTCCCCCATGAAGAAAAATATGTGACAAACGATATTCGAGTGGCTCAGAGTTTTTCTGAATTGCTTATTCTTTGCTTTAAATAATAAAGTTATTCATTCTTTTATATATATATATATATATATAACAAACTACAGCGATATTTTTCTTATTAGTGTTTTTATTTTGCATATCGTTGTTGTTTTTTAGGCGAATCATTTATTTTAGGTGAATCTATAATTCTCAATATGTGTGTGTGTATGTGTGTGTGTGCGTGTGTTTGTGTGTATATGTATGTGTGTCCGTGATCGAATGTTGTTTATTCGTTTCTACAATTTTCATTCGATTTCGCTAAAATTTTTTCGTTTGATAGATATTTCTTCAGTGTCGGTATTCAACCCAAATTGTTGGCGACAATAGCTCTCCACTACTTCCTGTCTATTATAACTCTCAGCAACGTTTTACTATTTACTATCTGTTCGCATATATATATATATATATATATATATATATATATATATATGATATATATATATATATATATATATGTATATGCGCGATAACGATATATACATTTTTATATATCAAAAACATTAGTGTGAAAAAAATGGATGACAAAGTGGAAAAAGTTTTCGTGTGACGCGTTTCGTTCTTCAGGTCATTGTCGAACTAAATTTGTTGTTGGTCCGACTACGCATGCGCACGAACGAGGGTTGCTGGGAATTTTTTATTTAATTTATTTTTTGTCATCTAGTATTTTTATAATATTTAAAAAAAGAAAGGGAATCTAAATAAAATCGCCTAGATTATCTAAAAAACAAAAGATAGATAGATAGATAGATAGATAGATAGATAGATAGATAGAGAGAGAGAGAGAGGGGGTATAAAAGTGGAAGTTCAAGTCAACACACAGTCTATTTCATGCTGAATGCTATCATCAGGATTGTCGATTGCGTTCAGCATGAAACAGACTCTCTCTCTCTCTGTGTGTGTGTGTGTGTGTGTATATATATATACAATGATGTACACACCTAAGCGTACACAGCGACTTGTTAATGCATGTTGGGTTATTTAATATCGAATTTAGTATGGAACACAAATGAGGATCGATCGCACTTCTTATAAACATTACTCCATTTGTCTTATTTTTTCACGCCTAGAATTTCTAAGTCCACTTGATTCACTATTTAATTATCCCAAGATGTAGAAGTTCGTTGAGAAACTATATTCTTTATTGTATCTCCTAACGTAATGTTGGTTCCTTGGTGGCGCCTAAGTACTCTGTAAGGAATATGTGTCAGTTTTTATTAGGTTACATTGTATCAATAACAGGTAATAGGCTTTCTCTTGATCCAGTGAATGTTATGGGTTCATTCATTTGAGCTGTGGGCAGAAACTATCTTAACCAGAATTGGAATCCAATTTACTAATCCGAAGACGCATAGGAATAGCGAAAAATGCCTTCCATAAATTAAACAAAATATTAAAAGAAAATTTCATTAGAAAAAAGAAGAAAAGAGTCTTGAACTTCTTCGCCATATCTATTCTCTTATATGGCAGTGAATGCTGGTCAATTTCTTCACAGATGAAGACGAGACTTGAGCCAATAGAGATATGGTTCTACAGGCTGAGAATTCTATGGATGAAGTTTCAAGGAAAGTAAAAGGACACTTAGAATCAAAAAGGCGTAATTGAAATGTTTTGGACATATAATGAGGAAAGAGAGCTTGGAGAACTTATAACTCACAGGACATATTGAAACAGGGGAGTAACGAGTGAAATACCTGGAGAGTCTTGTGTGGGTGGATTGCAGAACGGGGACAAAAAGGGATGGTAAAGTATCAAATTTCACTTAGAATAAGAAGGGACAGAATGTTGTGGATAGCCATTATCGATCACGTGCTGGATGTAGGAGGAATAATAATAATAATAATAATAATAATAATAATAATGATATTAGTAATAATAATAATAATAATCCTTTATTTGTGATGTTAACTATTACCCCATTTCCGCACTTCCGCTTCAATCGATAATATATTTTCATCTTTTGATGTTAAAATGGTTCTGTAAACTGTTACGTATCATCCGCAGTGAGGTAAAAAGAAAAAAAATAAATAAATAAGAAGTTCCACTGATAACCTAAAGGAAACGTCAGAGTTAAGTAAACACATGTTTAATACAAGAATCCAAAAATTGAGTCTTTAATCTTTTATTTATTTCGGAACGTAACACGTGTCTTTCATCACCAATGTATACGTTTATATCGCTATTGTTTAGAAAATAACATTACTTCTAAAAAGCCTCAAAATAAATTCAAGTGATTAGCAAACAAACAGTGCAGTGTTTCATCTGGTATAAAATGATATCAACTCTTAGAACAGTCTATAAAATAAAACAAAAGACTTTTGCCCAACTGAGATAGTCAAAACGTTTTCTTAAATTGCTAATAAGACGAAATGAATTATATTAAGGATATATCTAAAGATATAATTTAATTTGACTGTATAGATGGAGATTCCTTATTCCTTATACAAATACATTTTTCGACAATTTATTTATTAAAGACATTTTTATGTTTAACGTTGTTTTTTAGAGATACAAGTATTTTCTATGAAAATTTCTCGGACATTCAGGCCGGTAAATGTTATTTAATACTGTTTATCATAAACAGAGCATTTACTTAAATACTTGTATCTATAAAAAACAACGTTAAACATAAAAATGTCTTTAATAAATAAATACATTTTTGTTTATAGTTTGTAGATTATAGTCTGCCTTTATTGACCATGGCCGTAATGTGATTTTTTACATGCTACCATCATGGTTCTTCATAGATCCTTCATATTTATTATTTGTTAATTGCCATGACACTTTGGAAAAGATAGTGGAGTAGTTTCCCCTTTTGGATTCAGAGTACAGTCATTCTTCTAGACTGGCTGTCAACCAAGGCTAGAGAACCTAATCTAAACTTCCATTTCATCAATAGCTAGAGAGATGCACTTGGGCATTTCTGGAGGCTTTATAGTGAAACTGAAAGCAACGGAACTTGAACTCGGCTCGCCTATTCCACTTTTTGCACCGATGATTGCTACGATACCCTCATTAGAAGCGAGACTAACCAACTGCCAAACTATAAATAAAAGCAAAGTACAGTGTAACCCGGATATAAGAGAAACCCGGATATAAGATAGATTTTCTCTGGTCCCAAATTAGAGCCCATACTTACCTAAACAAAATAGACCAAACCCGGATATAAGAGAAACCCGGATATAAGAGAAACCCGGATATAAGAGAAACCCGGATATAAGAGAAACCCGGATATGAGAGACTTCTCCAGTCCCGACAACTCTTTTATATCCGGGTTACACTGTATTAAGACTCTATACAAATATCCGTAGAACAAACTTCCCATTTTCAGATGGTTATCAATACATTATTGACCAACTCAGACTTAGATCAAATAAGACACACCACTCAGTATGGTTAATTAAGACACTGCACTATCGGAAAAAGGCACGATGGAGTAATGGATTGCTGCTCGGATTGAGGAATCGGAGAACTGCGTTCGAATTCCAGTTGAGTTCATTACTGTTATGGAGTCCACCCCTTTTTCATACAAGTGGACTCGACCAGTGTGTACTTGTACTGCTGCCGGTGAATGCCCAGAAGTTAGAAGGGAGATACACTGATACAGTGAACAGTGAGAAAGTAAGAGTGTGAGGTAACCGCTTTGTAGGAGTCACAGTTGCGAGCACGTAGACTCAGAAGGAAGTCTTATTTCGATACTGAATTTCCCAGACTGTATATATATATTATTATTGCTACTGACCGCATTTCTGGATCTACTAACCGTATTACCAATTGTATTATTACGTCAATACATTTATTTGTTATATTTCATTCCTGCGTTTGTCATTCATTTGAGACCGGATTTCATCCCGGAATCCACAACAATTACATTCACTTACGTGCTAGTACCCTTTCGATACTCAAAATTTCTTATTAAATGTAATGAAAAATATGAATCAATCTCTTCTAAGGTAGGGTAAATAGCAGGACAGAACGGGTTCTATAGTATATCCTTGAGTGGCAACTGGTCTAGGAGAAGGAAAATCTCTGAATTCAAAACCAAGCTGGTTTATCAACCTGCTGCCTTGTAGGTCCCGCTTCTTTAGGCAAAAAGAAGGTAACTTCAAAACCAAATCCACCTCGCATGTCGTCTCGTAGAAAGAAACTGCCCCCCCCCACACGCAATACTTCAAGCAGCGACAGAACATAATGCACTCCTCGGACTTAGTACAATGGTTCGAATTCTAAAATGCAGCACGGTGTCGTCTGTATCACCCACTGCACTTTAGATGACGACAGTATCCAAACTACCAATAAATTTTAATATTATTTTGAATTGTGTTAATAGATATATTGTAAATTATTATTATTATTTATTTAACCATGTGTTTCTTGTTGAGTTTTGTTGCTAAATTTTTGTTACTTTTTTTAATGCCATGTCGTAGGCGATCCTGGTTCAACAAAGATACCTTTTAATTTATTATCTATTCATTGTCATGACTTATTGTAAAAAATGATGGAATAGTTCCCCGTGGCCTTCTCCATGGTTTTGAATTCAGAGTAGTTCATTTGGGTTTCCATACTCTAGCAGTGAATCTGATAGTGGTTCAAGACAATTCCTTAATGATGCTAGTGAAAACTGATTGAAATTGTTTGTCTATCGCGATATCTCACGAGGATTTTATTTTTATTCTAGGTTCTCTTAGGCTATGAATCGGATAGTCATTCATAACAGTTTATAGTTGGTGATGAAGACAGTAGAAATAATGCTTGTCCTGGGGTATTTTTGCTGTGTTGCCAATATAACGTCAGATAAAGGATATCCCGATCCCAAGTGATTAATTATTTGTAATTCAATAAAACTACAATTTTGTAATATATGTACATCCTTATATATTTTTAATTACTCTCTTTTTTTTCCAGGTTTTCATATACACACAGAATCTTACTTCTATTGCAAGTATTGTTGGACAACAGGTAACATGATTTCTTTGTTAATATGAAAGTTCAAAAGCATTCTCCCACATAAAAATGTATAGTTATATCTTTTCAGTTAAGCTAAAAGAATTATTTCTCAACAAACGAAACTCTGGTCACAGAAGTTCAGGGAAAACGCACGGACGTAAAGAGTTCTTTAAAATATAACTTTCATTACTTCTGTTGTTTATTCTATTGGTCTATATTTGCTTCCCTGCGGGGTAAATGTGAAAGCGTTTCGTGTTTAATGTAGCGGCCACTTACGCATAAGTGTAGGTTGAGGCAAATGTTATCCAGTTCACCGCGGATTGTGCAGATAAGACATTGGGATGACCCAAGTCCCTATTTTTAGTTCAATGAGATAGTACTATTCGTAATTGAAATCGCCATAGACTAAGCATATCTGCTTCAATATTGTACCCTATATTAACCAAAGACAAATATAAGCATGATCTCTGCCTGGAAGAATCGTAGATAGAAAAAAAAAAGGTACCTGTCCCTCCAGAGAGTAAGTAATGTCGAATACAGTGTGGGTTTCACACATATACGTGTGAACAGAGGTAGAAATTGTTAGTTCCCAGTAACCTGTGCAGCATCACCATCCTTTTAGTGTTATGACCATGGCTTTTCACGCAAGACATTTTGGCAGCGACGATTCTGCTCATGACATCTTGCAACAACAATCCGTAATTAGTTTTTAGCTCTGACATCATGGTAACTAGGTTAAAAAAAATCTTATATAAAAGAGAAAAATGTAAATTGTATTGTCACTATCATCATATCATCATAAAAAGACGAGCAGTTGAAGGTTCTAAAAGAAATGTTCATAGAAATTAAATTAAACGGATCCACTTGTAAAAAATATCTGTAGGCAATATTTTTGTAGAATAGCATTCATTAGAAATTATTCAAACCGCAGCATTTGTCGGACTCGAAAAATATTAATTTTTATCATTTTCAAAGCGAGGTCCTTTTCATAGTATAAATACAATGTCAAATTGATTCGCTATTCCTTAAAGAGTTATCTGTACTTTGTTTTTTTTTTTATTTAAACATGTCAAGTTTGAAATTGTTTACGCCATTGATTACTATTACGACTCGGTTCAAAAGACACAACCAGTAGTATGTATTGATCAATAATGTAAGCTTAATTCCAAACTTAATGCAGAATTCTGAAACAATAAATATCAGAGAGACGTGCGTAGCTATCGAGAAAGCATGGCTCAAATTCTCTTCAGAGGTTTAATTGTGAAATCGATACCACGTCGAGTTGGCGCACTACGCAGTATTAGATAACAAATCACAACTTTTGGCACGACAATATATATATATATATATATATATATATATATGTCATACCCAGACAGACTGTTTCGTTGTATCACAGCTCTTCAGTGTGGCTAGACTTCCGATTGCTTCAAGCCGGGATCGAAACCCGACGATTTGGTATCAATCAGTGATCCTACCCCTAGGCTATCGTCGCACGGCAAAAGAGAAAGGGGAACGTTTTCTATACGGAGAGCTCAATTTAGTTGAAGAGCAAACGTTAATAGCAGTAGGAGCCACTGCTTTTAAAATTACCCGGTTGAGCCCTCTTGAAAATCTCTCTGTCTCTGTCTTCCCCTCTCTCTTTCTATATATATATATATATATATATATATATATATATATATACCTGTGTTGCGCTGCAGAATAGGTTGCTGTACAAGGCTCAGTCGGTTAACCATTTACGATTTTTAGAGTCTGTTTACATCAAGCTTCAATGACTGACTTTGTGCAGGCAGAAGGAGAACTGTCTTCGTTCTCACTGTCTCATGGATGGGTCGTGAGTAATTCTTATTGTTTTATAAACACTAGGGGCTTATTTACACCGATTTGTTTTTTTATTTAGTAATAAATTTATTTTAGTCGTGTCTCCTTATTTAGAGCCGTGCCTACCTTTTCAGTTTCACCGTTTTAATTAATGTCGTTCCAAAGAATCTTTCTGGGGAAATATTGGACGGAGAACGTCCGCTTAAACATCCTTCATTTTCGAAGTCATATACAAGGTGCGATGGGTAAACTGTCGTCTAAATTACACAAAAATGAAAATAACACTGATATCTCATTTTAACAGATATATTTACTAAAATTACAAAAATATATCTTGAAATACTAAAAAAAATAAATTTATTTAATAAAATAGCCATTGGCTTCAACCACGGCCTCCAGGCGACTTCGGAATCTCCTGCAACTCTTCTGGGCGATCTCCTGGTTTAATTTAGTGAATGCCGCCATAATCCTTGCCCTAAGTTCATAATTAGTGTTACAAGAAGTCGCTCAACTGCGCATCACACATAATAAACAGGAGTGTTGCAGTCTGGTGAGTTAGGTGACCAGATGTAAGGGGTAATGTGGTCGCAGAAACCGAGTGGCTGGCTTCTCCTGCTTGTGTGACATGGTGCAGAGTCCTACAACCACGCACTTGACCCAGAGCAGCACTTCTTCCTCGTGGTACTTGATGTAGGCCTCCGTGTTGATTCTGAGGCTCTGTGGGAAGATGAATGAAGGCATAACATCTCCATCACTAGTGATCACTCCAAACACCTTCGTAATCACCATTAGATTCATCCAACACTTTCGAAATCTTCTGCATTGTCCTCAGATTGACACCCAAGCACTGAAATGTTCGTATTGGAGTTTCCGGTGTGAATGCCAAGCAATAGAGTGTGCCGTTTTCAAATTTCTGGCGGAGTGAATTATGCCGTGGTGATCTTTTTCTCACAGACGGTGTCAAACTAACTCTACTATACTGTAGAGTCGACAAAATCAAAAACATACAACATGCATGCGCAAAATTAAAAATATAAAGTGATGACAATTTATCCATCGCACCTATATATATATATATATATATATATATATATATATATATATATATAAAACCAATCAAAAAATGTCAAAATGACCAAGGGAATTCAGAGCAGCATGAATCCATCCAACTCTTATCTTAAATAACAACTTAAAAGAGACTGTTTGACCAACACAGGGACTGACCAAAATCATGTTAAAAAATGAAAAAACAAAAACAAAAAAAGACAAATGAAAACTACAGACAAAAGTTCATTTCCTCCATCAAGGCATTCATTTCTGTAGTTCACTGCTACTAACAAGCAGACATTTTTTCTCCTGATGATGGTTATGTTGGTCGAAACTAGTCGAGGAATCTATAGAGCGTCTACTCAAATATGGGCATCCATATGTTATGTTTATGTTAGGATGCGAAACTGAGAAGATATGAATGTTTCGATAGTCTGGGAAAGATTTGCTTTTATAAGTCAATATTCAGCTTTCCTTGGTCCTTATATCGGATATAAGAGGGGCGAAGGTGCGATTCCTGCCGAAGAGCGCATATTTTTTTTTTATTCCCCGGACAACCATCTTCATGGGAAATCCAACGCAAAAAAAGAAGACTTGGGGTAGGCACTCACGGACTTCTCTGCGTTCAAGGCAGCTGGAGGCGCGTAGGAAAAAGGTTCTTGATGCCAATGGAGATTACTCTGAGGACTAACGGTATATCAAATTTGCAGTATACCGTATTTCTAATAAATAAAAAACGGCATATATATAAGGTAACTATAATATATATATATATATATATATATTCTAATCCACACACACACACACACACACACACACACACACACACATATATATATATATATATATGGATTAGAATTAAGAATTTTCTTATGTCGGATGATTTGAATGTGTTACTAGTGGTAAAGTGTATCTTAATTAACAACACCAAAATCCTCTATAAAAACAACTGCAAAAAACGATTACAAATTTTGGAAGCGATCCTCATCAAAGAACAAAAACCCAACTTAAATAAAATAGCATTTAATACTGGCAGAAACGTATTAAACATATTTAATAGCTAATCCTCCAATAAAAAAAAATAAATCCCCTCCTTACCAATAATGGACTAACCCATCTAACCGTCTAATATTATCTATAAAAATAAAAACTAATAGCATATTTTCGAACCAAAACAAATGCCATTACTGTCAAAGTCTCTTCCTTGTGCAGACAGGAACCCGGACGAGGCTTTGCCGAAGGTCAAAATTTCGTCCGGGGAGGTAGACAAGCTCTGAACCCGTTTATGCGGGTTCTAAGGGAATATTTTTGGCCGAACCTGCGGGATCGGAGAACCCACGGTAAACTCGGCCTTGTGCTACATACATCCCTCGTGGATTTGGGGGGGGGGGTCGTGGCTGTTAAATATCAAGAAACGCCATATTGACGGTTGAGGACAACCGAAAGCGCTCGACAGATAACCATCAACTGGGGTCTTACTTTATGGAACTAAACTAAAACTATAAAAAAAACTTGCAAGAAAGCAAGAAAAAACTGAAGCTAGGATCAAGCGAAAACTTCCGTAGTTTTCAACAACACATGTCTGAATAACGACATAATGCCAAAATGTGCGAGCGTTATATATTTTATAAGTTTTTCGTTCAGTTTTTCTATCGTTATTACAGCTTTTATTTCTCTTTTAGTTTCCATATAAGAAATACTATGAAAACATGAGTAAGACTGAAAAAAATGTTAATTTTTCTTCACTGTCAATATATATATATATATATATATATATATATATATGAAGTTTCAAGATTAAGGTTAATTGCAGTGCCTTGCTAGGTGTTTTAACGATACATGTATAAAAGAGGGATTGCTGCTCAAATACATAATATATATATATTTCGATTATATGTGCTGTTCAACTTATAATTACATGAATCATTCATACAAAAACAAATATAGAGGTTACATTATATATATAGCCATTTAAATCATTAACCTCTATATTTGTTTTTGTATGAAATGATTATTATATATATATATATATATATATATATATATATATATATATATATATATATATATATATATATATATATATATAGTTTTATGGCATGCTATCCTTATGGGCTAAAGTGAAATGAGAAATAGAGCGT